TGATTCCCTAAGCCCCTGCCCCACCCAACTTGAGGCAAGAGAAAAGCAGTTCATTACCTAGAAAAGAGCTCCCATGAGACTGTCAGCTGATTTCCCAACAGAAACTTTGCAGGCCAGAAGGAATCAGCAAGAAATATTCAAAGTGATGAAAAGCAAGGACCTACAACCAAGATTACTGTATCCAGCAAAGCTATTATTTAGAATAGAAGGACAGATAAAGAGCTTCCCAAACAAGAAAAAGCTAAAGGAGTTCATCACCACCAAACTAATATTACATGCAATGTTAAAGGATCTTCCTGAGGAAGAAGAAGAAGAAGAAGAAGAAGAAGAAGAAGAAGAAGAAGAAGAAGAAGAAAAATTCATATCAATCAACAAACAATTCAATGTAAAAAACAAACTAAATGAACAAGCATATCAGAAATGGACTCATAGATAAAGAGAACATTTTGATGGTTGCCAGGTGGGAGAGGGTTTGGGGGATGGATAAATAAGGTAAAGGATTAAGTAGTACAAATAAATTGTTACAGAATAGTCATGGGGATGTAAAGTATAGCATAGGTAATATAGTCCATAGTATTTTAATAACTATGTATGGTGTCAGATGGGTACAAGATTTATCAGGATGATCACTTAGTAAGTTATATAATGTCTAAACACTGGGGCGTACACCTGAAGCTAATACAATATTGTATGTCAACTGTAATTTAAAAATAAAAAGTGATTTAAAAAACTGAACTCAGACTGCCTATGATTCAGTTTTCTATTCTGTGAGGGATAATAATAGTACTCTGCTTTATCAGATTACTTAGAGAGTTATTGTGATGAATAAATTTGATAATTCACATAGAGGGCTTAATGTGGTTACTGACACACATAATTTATCAAAAATGTTAACTTTTACTATTATTTTCTAGATTCACTTGCATTTTTAGTACTAGACACCAATTGGTTTGCCTACCAACAAACATTTATAAAACAATTGATATTATATTATGGGCTAAAAATCATTAACAATATGGAGTATATAATCTTATGAAGTTTACAATCTAATTTGAGAGATAAAGCATAAAGACTTAACAAAATCTGAGCCTGGCCAGTGTGGCTAAATGGTTGAGTGTCGACCCATACACCAAGAGGTTGCCTGTTTGATTCCCAGTCAGGACACATGCCCAGGTTGTGGGCTAAATCCCCAGTGGGGGGCATTCAGGAGGCAGCCAATCAATGTTCTCTCTCATCTCTCCCTACCTCTCTAAAATCAGTAAAGAAAAAAACATTAAAAAAAAATCTATAAACAGAATTTGGTATAAACATACAATGGAATATTATTCAGCCTTAAAAAGGAAATTCTGACATGCTGCAATATGAATGAACCTTGACGATAGTATGCTGAGTGAAAAAAAATGAAAAAGGATAAATATGGGGTTGGGCAAAAGTAGGTTTACAGTTGTTCGTATGTAAAATAATGCAACAATTACTACATAATAATACAAGAATAAGCTCTGTGTTTTGCATACTCACATCTGAAAACCTACTTTTGCCCACTCCTGTATTGTATGAGGTGCCTAGAATGTCAAATTCATACAGACAGAAAATAGAATGGTGGTTGCCGGAGGCTGGGGGAGAGGGAAAGGGGAGTTGTATGATGAGTACGGAGTTTCAGTTTTGGAGGTGGAAATGTTCTGGAGATGAATGGTGGTGATGGCAGCACAAAAGAACGTAAAGTGCTCAATGCTACTAAACCATATAGTTTAGAAATGCTTAAAATGGTAAATTTCATGTTATGTATATCTTACCACAATAAAAACACAAATTTAAAATGCAAACATTCATATAAGGGAAAATTAAAGTTCAACACTACAATGTAATAGATAAATCAGTAAGTTATAAATTATCAAATGTCATTTTAACTTTATTAATAAAATGTATCCATTTATTTTTTGATAATAATACATTTGCATAGTACAAAAATAAAAGGTTGTCTTTTCCTAGAGACAACCCCATTTACCAGTTACTTATATATTCTACTAGAGATACTATCTAGTTACCTATCTATCAATCTATCTTCCAATAACTATATTTGTACACTGTATACACAACTTTCTTTTTCCAGTTAAGAATGTCTTATACAGCACATTAAATACAACCTTGTTCTTTTATAAGAGCTGTATAGTACATACCATAAATATATTTAACCAATCCCCTAGTGAGAAGCCAGAGAAGTTTTCCTGTCTTGCTATTTCAAGTTGTTTCAAAGAATAATCTAGCACATATGTAATTTTGTTAATTGTGAGCATTTTTGTAATACAAATTCCTGGAGGGAGGCTTTTCAAATTATTCAGATTGTAAATCCCTAACTAGACAGATTTCACCAGAGGTATTGGTATTAGTCACTTTATCAAAAAACTTGGAAACATCTTTGTATAATTTTCTTTGGCACCTATCAATCACTGTCTTGTTAATTTGATCTCTTCAGTATCTCATCTGTCCTCCCTTCCCATTTCCCATTTCTTATAGCCAACAACTCAATTTAGGCTTTCAGTATTTCTTCACATCTGAAGTGTCCTCAACCCAGCCTCCTGAGAGAAGAATTTGCTCAGATGCTTTCATGCTACCTAATACATCCAGAATTAGGTCTAATGCCTCTATTTTAGCCAGCAAGGCTCATCTTAATTGGATCCTTGCACTTTCCCTCTCTAGCCTTCTCTACCATTACCCGACTTTATTCTTTTTCTTTTTGGATGTATAATAGTTTACAAATTCAGGCCTCCACAAATTTGCTCTTACTGTCTTTCCAACCTGCAATACCTTCATCGATTTCCCTTTCTTCACCAATGTGGGAGGTCTTGACCTTTAATATTTTACTTATTTTAAAAATTTATTTGTTTGTTTGTTTGTTTGTTTACTTATTTTCCTCACCTGAGGACATTTTTCCATTTTTTGTTCAGATAGAGTGGGAGGAAGAGAGAGGAAGAGAGAGAGAGAAACATGGATGTGAAAGGGACACACCATGTGGTTGCCACCCACATGACCCCAACGGGGAGGGGACAACCGAGGTACCTGCCCTTGGAGGAACTGAACCAGGTCTCTCTGGAGTCTTGACCTTTTTATGCAAGAGGAGGAACCTTCTCTTTGTGATCCACAGGTCTGCATTCATCTTCCATGGTGATTGCTATTCTCTACTGAAACTATTTTCTTTTTCTATTTTTTTGGAAACTATTTTCTTAAAGTAGGCTGAAATAGTGGTGAGAGTGGCCTTTTTTCTTTCTAGCTCTAGCATCCAGCACAGTGTTTGAAGTCATGTGGTATGCCCTCAATAACATTTCTTTAATTGAATTTAACTAGATCGTGGGGGAAAGGGGAGGAGTCTTTCGTTCATTCATATGTTTATCGAGTGGCTATTAGTGGCAAGATTATGTACTAGGCAGTGGGATTAGAACCAAGCAGATAACCTAGGGCTTACTTTTAGCCTAGTGAAAGAGAGTGGGCAACAAAAACATACGATTATAATTCAGTGGGTGAGGACTGCAGTGGATCCCAGGTCACAGTTCAGATTCTTTTATGGATATGGATGAGCAAAGGGTCGCATTTTAATTTGAGGGAACTGCACTAGGAAACAGCATTTATAAAGTAAGGCTATTGCTCCAAAGCACTGGGAAACCAAGAATTAGACACAAAGCTCAAGATTTCTAACTTTCTGTTTATGGTTCATGGCCTCCACATTTTATTTTTTATATTTTATTTAATTTTTTTCTTTATTGCTTTTTTTTAGAGAGAGGGGAAGGAAGAAGGAAAGAGAGAAACATTGATGAGAGAGAACATCGATTCGCCGCCTCCTGCATGCCCCCCACTGGGGATCAGACCCACAACCTGGGCATGTGTCCTGACCGTAAATCGAGCCTGCGACCTCTTGGTGCATGGGTTGACCCTCAACCACTGGCCGCGCGGCCTCCACATTGTATTGACTTATATTTATTATTATTATTATTATTATTATTATTTTGGTACGTGCCCCGAACAGGGACCGAACCCGGGACTCTCTGGTCCACAGGCCAATGCTCTAACTGCTGAGCCAAACCGGCCAAGGCGGGCCTCCACATTTTAAAGTAGAGATGATCTTCTGGGGAACAGAAGGTCACATACAGTGTCTGGGGGGAAAGAATAATAAAGTGAGACATAATAATGTAATAATGTTAGACAACCAGGTCAGAATCAGTGTACTCCATGAAAGTTCTCTTTCTCTGCTCAGCTGCCTTCTAAGCATTCATAAAAACTTGCTTGGTGTTAAATGACCTATATTAAATTTAATCCATCAGCCCAGCCCGTGTGGCTCGGTTGTTGAGACGGCTGAGCATCTACCTACCCATGCACCAAGGTTCAATTCCTGGTCGGGGCTCGCGCCTGGTTGCAAGCTCGGTCCCCAGTAGGGGGCGTGCAGGAGGCCATCGACTGATGTTTGCTGTTTCTCTCTCTCCTTTCCTCTCTCTAAAAATCAATAAAAACATATATTAAAAAATAATCTACCAATTGTTCTTTTTCTGTCCTTTCCTACTGTCTCCCCTAATATGACCTTTCCCCCCCACAAAAGGTTGAATAAGCTAGAGAACGTAATGAAAAGAGCAGTTCCTCTGGGAGTCAGTCGGGAAGAATTGGATTCATCACAGAGGGCAGTCATTACTAGGGGAGTAACTATGGACAAGTGCTTAAACTTCCGGTTTCCTCTTTTGTAAAATAAGGTCTAATAATAAATAAGTCGGGAGATGTTTATGCAAAGCCCTTACCTTAACACAGTGACTGACACATAGTAAGAACTTAGAAGTGAGCTATTCAGCGATCCTAGGAACCCGATGCTGCGGGGGTGTATTTTTGCTTCCGTAAACCAGAGGAAATGTAGGCGTAACCATTACCAAATTAAGGCAGAAGTCGCGCTCCGGCAATGATGAGGTTTGATCTCTCCGGGCCACCGTCTCCGGGCATGCGCAATTGAATGTGGCGGGACGCAGGTGTCATGGCGAGCTCCATCTGAAGTCTGCGCGCATCCGGAGAGCGGCGAGTCTCCCTTTGGACTGGTTTGTTATTTCGCGACTATTGGGTAAGGGTAGTGGGTGGGTCCGTGTGGGGCAGAGGGTGGCCGGAGCTCTTTTTATCACGGAGTCTTGTTTCCCCAATTTCAGCCTTTCTCGGGCTTTGATGGTTTGTTTCGCAGTTAAAAGGGGACTTGCCAGCTGGGATGGGGGAACAGGGAGGCTGGTAGCGCTGGCAAAAGTGAGGACAGGGTCGTTGACCTCAGGTGCTGCAGGGCTATCGGGAGTATTTAAGGGATCTGGTTCTTCGTTGCCAAGATTCACTTCATCGTTAGTCATTTTCATCGTTAGTGATTTTGCGGGACCGGAGGAGGCTGTCGCAGTTACTTAGCTTTCACAGAGCTGATCTCATTAAGAATTTAAACTGAAGGTAGCCGTCAGAGTAGGTGTCTTGTGTTTTCACTTTTCTGTCTCGTGTACTTGTAAAATCAACCTCAGAGTATTGGGCGACACGTGTCTCTCGGATGGAAGGTGATCTGGATGCTTGTACTTAATCGCCTTGTTCCTGTTTTGCAGTTGTTGGTATCACTTGAATCATGCAGGTGTGTTCTAGTGCTGGATGGTATTTATTACTATGGCCAGACGCTGGATTTCAGTCAGCGCAGATGTTAGCACACCTGCCTAGTCAGTAAGAAGTTGGAAGTAGTATGGAGCATACTTAACCTTGCTTTATAAGACAGTCTTTTATGGAGGGTAATCCCTTTCAGGTAATTTTAAAGAGTCCTTACTGTGGTTTTATGAACTTGTTGTGAGCTTCCTTTTTCTAATCAATTTTTATTTTCCAGACTCATCTTTCAAGAGGATTTGAGACTGATTGCTGATAATCAAGGTACTCATTTATTTTAAACCGTTTACGTTTGAATGACACGGTACACATGATGTGCAAAAAGATAGCCCTAGTTCTTAGTAATTTTGTCACCATCATTGTGTGGGAATGCTATGATTGCCATGTCACTAAATGCAAGAAACATTGTTATTTATTTTACTTAACCTTTCATCTACAGTAAGTTGCACTGACTGTGTCCACTTCTTTGACATGCTTTCTGCCTTTGCCTTCTATGACCAACTGATTTGCTCCTTTTCTGGTGGTTGCTTCTTGGTTTCCATTAAAAGCTGGTTCTCTCCTATTTGACAGTGAAATTTGGAGTTTCTCAAGACGTGGTCCTGTACCTTTTTCTCTTTTCTGTTCTCTTTCTCTGGGTGTTCTAATCCACAGTTTGTTTGTTTTTTATTCTAGTGGGTGTAAAGGGATATCTCATGGTTTTGATTTGTATTTTACTGATAAGCTAATGATGTTGACATCTTCCCATGTGCTTATTGGCCATCTGTGTATCTTCATTGGAGAAATGTCTATTCAAATCCTTTCCCCATATTTTATACTGTGTTATTTGTTTTTCGGTTGCTGAATTGTGTTCTTTAAAAAAACTTATTTTGATACAAGACTTTTATCAGATGTGTGATTTGCAAATCTTTTCTCCCATTGTGTGGAGTTGTCTTTTCACTCTCTTGATGGTATCCCTTGAAATATAAAAGTCTTTATTTTGATGAAGTCCAGTCTGTCTTTTTTTCTCTTGTTGCTTCTTTTGGTGTCGTAACTAAGAAACCAGTGCCTAATCTAACGTCATGAAGATTCATGCCTGTGTTGTCTTCTAAGAGATTTATAGTATTAGCTTTCAAATTTAGGTTTGTGATCCATTTGAATTAATTTTTGTATATGATATGAGGTAGAAATCCAACTTCGTTCTTTGCACGTGGCTGTCCAGTACCATTTGTTGGAAAGAGTATTCTTTTCCCCATTGAATTTTCTTGGCATCCTTGTTGAAAATCAGCCGACTAGGTTGTGTGTGTGTGTGTGTATTTAAATCCCCACCTGAGGACATGCTTACTGATTTTAGAGAGAGGGGAAGGGAAAGAGAAACATCCATGTGAGAGAGAAACATCCATGGGCCGCCTTCTTGTATCCACCCCTACCAGGTGATTGAACTCAAAACCCAGGTATGTGCCCTGACTGGGAATCGAACCCACAACATTTTGCTGTACAGGACAGTGATGCTTCAACCAACTGAGCCACACTGGCCAGGGCTATGTAATGTGTTTTTGAGAAGCATGCTAGCTGATTTTTATGAAATAATAACTCTAGGACAGTGATTTCTCAAACTCTAGTGTACATCAAAATCATCTGGAATGCTTTCTTGTTAAAGCTTGCTGGGCTTTACTCAGAATATCTGGTTCATTAGGTCTATAGTAGGGCCCAAGACTTTTCCCTTCTAACTAGTCTCCCAGTGATTTTGATTGTGCTGGTCTGGGAACCACAGTATAACTACAACTGGTGTAGAACTTTGTTTCATCACTGTGACTACACACATGGGAATTATTGGAAAGTTTAAAAAAATATTGATGTCCAGACTCTGTTCTATAGATTGATTCAGCTGATATGGGGCTTAATTGTTTATACGTTTCAAAAGCTCCTCAGGTGAATACAATGAACACTCAAGTTTGAGAACTTCTGCTGCAGGAGAATAGTGGTTCTCAATCAAGGTGTTTAGTGGAATCACCTGGGCAAGTTTTACGTTCACATCCCTAAGTTCCACTTCTGGAGATTCTAGTTCAGAATGGGACTTGGGTAGTTGATATTATAAAAACTCTTCTAATAAATCACCTATATATGTTACAGTACTGTAGGATGTTGTATTCTCTCTTGTGTTTAAAAAAACTTTTTTAAGGTAGCAAACCATACAGATATCTAGGGGATGATATTCCAGGCAGAAGAGGAGCAATTGTGAAGGCCCTTGAGTCAGAAACTAGTTTGGCATACTCAGAGAATATCTAAAAGGTTAGTGTAGTTGGTACAGAGTGGGAGGTGACAGAGGGAATAGCTAGGGGCCATACTCTGTTAAACTGGGCAGAATACAGTAAAAAATATTTATTGAGGAAGTGTAATATGCTAGATGTAGTTCTAGGCTTCCCCTGGGCTAAAACAGTGAACAAAGCACACAGAACCTTTACCCTCACAGAGTATATTCTAGTAGAAAGAGATAGACAGTAACAAAGTAATGACAATATTTAGGCAGGTAATGAAGTGTTATGGTCTGAAAACAAGGTGAGGAACAGGGATAGGAAGTTTATGTATATGTGGTGAGGTATGGGAGTTGCTCAGAAAGTTCTCCCTGGTGACATTTGAACAGTCCCGAAGGGCTTGAGAACGTTCCAGGCAAGAATATAATCCTGAGATGAGGGTGTCCCTGGTAGGTATGAACTGGCAAGGAGGCCCATGTGGCTGCGTGGAGTGATGGCGAGAGTGGCAGGCAGTAAGGTCAGAGAGGTAACAGGAAGCTGATTACATATGTCCTTGTAGATCTGTGTAGTGATTTTGGCTTTTTATTCTGAGGTGGAAGACATTAGAAGGTTTTGAAGGAATCTCTGACTTCTATGCTTAAATATCCTTTGGGAATTAAGTGTAGAAGCAGGGAGACTAACTCAATAATCTAGGCAAGAGTTATTGGTTTGGACCAAGAATATAACAGTGGGTAGGGTGAAAAATAGATTCTGAATATATTTTGAAGACAGAGCCAACAGGGTTTTGTTGGTGCTTTGGATTAGGGAGAGAATTCCAGGATTTTTAGAATTCTGAGCAGGTAGAAGATTGGGATTGCCCTTAAATGAGATGGGGAACGTTGTAGAAGGGTCTGGTATAGTGTTTGGTGGTGGTTGTGTGTGGGGAAAGATGGGGAGAAGATTTAGAGTTCTCCTTTTGATGTTTTAAGTTTGAAATAACTATTAAGGGTGTTGAATAGGCAGTTGGACGTGTGAGTCTGAAGTTCAGGAGAGGATTGGGACCAGTTATATAAGCATATAGTTGATATTGCAAAGCCACAGGATCAGATGAGCACAGGGTATGTCTGTGTAGTAGAGAAGTCCTGTAACAGAACCATGGGACCATTTCAGTGGTGAGAAGTTGAGAGAAGAGGAGGAAAGGAGCCCTTGAGAGCAGTTAATGAGGTAGAAGGAGAGTGTGGTGTCCTACAGATGAGGTCATATAAGGTGACTGAGAATTGATCACTGTATATACTGTTGGGAAGTCACTGAAATTATTACAGGCAATTTTGCTGGAGTGGGGATGGGGGTGGTGAAAGCCTGGTTTATTAGAGAATGGGAGGGGAAAATTGGAGATTGTAAATATAGATAGCTCTTGCAAGGAGTTTCCCTTTTTTTTTTTTTCCCTAGGAGTTTCCCTTTAAAGAAGAGAAATGTGATGGAGACAGTAAATGGAGGAAATGGGATCAAGATAAGGCTATTGTTTTTCAAATGGGAGAAATAGTAGTATGTTTATATCCTGATAATAATGATTGAGTGGGGAGACAATTAGTGAAGATGCAGGAAAGGGAGCCTTGCTGGAAATTTTTGCTTGAGTAGGTCAGAGTACAAGGATTGTTCTTAGGGAGGTGGACAGTTATTCATAGTAACAGACTGGTAAGCTGAGTACATGGGCAAAGAACAACTACTGGGTAAACGAAGGAAGTCATCCATCTGTACAGAATGTGAGAGGGCGTCTGAGGTCAGCTTCATTCAAGTTGTTTTCAATACCATCTTTTTAGCCTTATAAGAGATGATCTGTGAGAAATTAATTTTCAGAAAATTTCTAAGATAAATGAGTTTGTGTCTTTTTAAAAAAAATAATGTTTTTAGTGATTTTTTAGAGAGACATAGAAACATTGATGTGAGAGAGAAACATCGATTGGCTGCCTCCTGCACGCTTTCTGCTGGGGATCAAGCCTGCAACCTCAGGCATGTTCCCTGACCTGGAATGGAACCGGGACCACTCAGTCCCTGGAATGACACTCAATCACTGAGCCATACTGGCCGAGAGAGTTTTTTTTTTCACTGCATGAAGTTCTTCATAGTCTTTGCTCTACTAATGCATGCTGGGAATCTATAAGGAGGCAGAATTTTCTAAATTAATTTGACCACAGAACCGTTTTCTCACTTATAATTAATATCTCAAATAGATAGAACCAATTTGAGAAAGACTAACTTAATTCATTTCACCGTACCTCGTTTGCTGAGTTGGTCAGGGTTCTTGTTTGCAAGAGCGGAAAACCTAACTCAAACTAATTTAAACCACAAAAGAAATGTGTTGGTTCACATGACTGGGCAGAGTGAGGCAGCATTGGGCTTCAGGCATTGGTGGGATCCAGGTGCTCAAATAATGTCAGTATGGCTCTTTATCTGGCCAGCTCTATTAGTCTTCATTCCTTAGGTACTCTTCTGCCCTGTGACTGGCAGATGGTCTCCATCATCATCAAATTGACATCCTCCCACCTTAGACACCTAGGTGAAAAGAGAAGCCATCTCATCTGTTAGCTCTGACACAGAAGCCCTCGGGATGATTCTGATTGGCTGGGCTTGTCATAGCCAACCCCGAACCCAATCACTGTGGCCAGGAGGATGGGTTACTGTGGGAGGCTTGGGTCATGTGCCCCATTCCTGTGTCTAGGGAAGGAGGAGGCCTGTGATTGACAGTCCCTCCATGACTATGTGGTATGTATGTTAACTATAATTTAGCAAGTCCTTGATTGATTGCCATTTGGGGTTATTTGTAATCTTCTGTTCTTACTAACAATGTAAAGCTAGCTGAGTTTTGAACACAGGCTTGTCTGATTTGCAGGGCATAATTTGTCATAATTGTATAGAGTAGTATATTACATTATAGGGCACAAAATGAGCCTGGCTAGAAGCCACTCTTAATTAAAAGTTTTTAATGGAAAGATGAGAATTTGGCAAAGGAAGAGAAGGAAAATTCACCAGAAAGGCTGAGATCAGAGGAGAGTA